CACAAAAGCCAGTCGCGGATCCCCGACCCCAAACTCTCCACCACGACCTCGGGAGCCACGACAAAGCTCTGAGTGAGGCAGGCGACGGAGAGCAGGCTTGGAAGATAAGCATTTCAGCAGCAAGGGGAGACTTGAAACCTAGGACCTCCCCAAATTTCAGGACCACGTAAGCCCCTGGAACTCTAGCATCCACCCTAGGGAGGAGGAGGGCTCCCCTACCCATAAGTCAGGGCTCCCACCAGCGCTGCCTGCCTGGAGCGCCATTTAACTTGTTCCGGAAAAATGACGTTTTGTGCGCTGTCTCACGCCTGAGAGTCACGGGACAAACTCATACCCGCCCTGCCATCCCCATATAGTTCCAGGCCGGGCTTCCCACGTCCCACGGGGGTGTTCTCACTCCCGGTAGCGGTGACAGCATCACCGGACAGCGGTACCCGACCTCACAGCCGAGCACTGCACCTGTGGTCTAGCGCCGCCCCAGCCAAGCACCCGGTTGCCCCACAAAAGATCTCAGCTGATTTCTCAGGTCTGTGCCAACTTAGAAAACATCTGGAGAGAGACATACGAAGCTCCCCTCCCTTCCCCACTACTTTCTGGCAGAACTTCTGGAGCTATTATGGCCCTTTCTTGTGGCTTAAAGAAAAGCTTTCAAGTCCCCAGGGACACTGAACTCCCTTCCTTACCCCGTGAACCTAGAAGAATGGCACCACAAAGACCTCCTTTCTCTCCTTTTCATAACAGGGCCATTATCCTCAAGAATGAAACCAAGTTGGGTTTTTTTTTTAAGCTCCTCTGACAAAGGCTCTGGTCCAACCACCCCTCTTTTGAATTGACTGGAGACTCTGGAAAAAGAGCCCAGCGTGGGCTGAGCTGGCAAACGGGGCGGGGAACATCTACTAAGGGGGGGAGGGCCGGGGGAGGGGCGGACAGGACATGCGCTGGCGCTGGGAAAACCTCCGCCAAAGTCCTGCGTCTTTGTTCGAGCTGTCGTTTGGCTACTCTTTTGAACCTTCAGTCCCTGTCGAGTTTTCTTTTTCCCCCAAACAAGGAGTTCAAACTGCCCCTCAGAACATTTCAGCCTTTGCCCAAGGGCTCTGCCAGATGGGATGCGCAATAGCTCCAACGAGGAAGGTGAGAATGAATAAAGAAGACGGTCCGCCGGGGTCGGCAAGAATACTTCAAGTTTCCCTGAACATTTTCCCTAAGAGCCTGTATCTTTCTTGGGGTGCGATCTGCTCTCCTCTCTGCGGTCTTAGGCCATTACAGAGGACATTGCCAGGGCGCAGCTTCCATTTGCAATAAACTTGTCATTATCCCAGCTCATAATCAAAACTCTTGGAAACCCGTGTTAGGGAAACAAAAGTTGCTGGCGGTAATTACTGTGTGCATCTTGCCAGCATGATTTCAGAGCATGGCGAGAAACACTTCCCAGTCCCCAAGTGTTTTCATCCAGCAAATATCTTGATAGTAGCCATTTGGCTGAAAGAGACCCTCCTTTCCCTGTAAACAAAGCAGCAGGCGATGAGTGACTGCAACCCATTCCTCTTGCCTTCTCTTGGTGGTTTCCTGAGGTTCAACCGCTCTGGCCAGCATTTCCTTATAGACTGGGGATTTCAAGTAGCGGGCATAAGAGTCCTAGCGGGAACAAGAGAAAAACAGCTATTATGAGAGGGAAAGTGTCACATCAAACGAATACACTGGCCGTTTCCCCAGCCTTCCCTCGGCAGTGAGATTGCAAAGTTAAGAGGATTTGTATCCTTGTGTGCAAGGCACTCAGATGTGTGTCTGAAGCCACGGTGCTCAAGTGTGGTCCCCATGCCGGCAGCATCCATTTCACCTGGCCACTTGCTAGAAATGCACATTCTCAGAGACCCGAGGGGTGGGACATGCTGAGTCTTGGCCAGACGCTGCCGCCCTTCACGCTAGAGAACCCTGGTCCACAGCCGCGCCCAAAGAATCTCGAGGGCTCTTCAGCAAAGTACGCACGGAACAGCAGACCCTTGCTTCCAACCTTGCCCACCCACTACCTCCACTTCGAAGCCCACTCACAAGCCCTTCTCCCCTGAATTTCAGTAGAAAGGCAAGAGGATACCAAACCCAGCCCAACCAAAACAAGCCCCAGGCTCAGACTCCTCTTGTGTGGCTATTTGCTGGGACCCTCGGCAGGTTCAGGGAAGCCGCTTCCTGAACGCCTGCTTCCCCGCAAGCCGACTGCAAACTCTAGTCGTAACATACGTGGGACCAAGCCCACAGAAACATCTAGGAGAACTTCTCAACAACCAACTGAGAATTTAAAAAAATTTATTGAAACGGTACCATTCTAAAGACTAAGTAGCAGCAGTCAAAGTCGTGAGAACTGTGGACAGAAGACCTAAATAGACATTTCTCCAAAGAAGGCACACAGATGGCCAACAGGGACATGAAAAGCTGCTCCACGTCGCTAATCATTAGAGAATGCAAATCAGGACCACCGTGAGGTATCACCTCACACCGGTCAGAATGGCCATCCTCAAAAAGTCTACAGATAACAAATGCTGGAGAGGGCGTGGAGAAAAGGGAACCCTCCTACACGGTGGGGGGGAATGTACATTGGTGCAGCTACTATGTCATGACGGTCTATACGACGACTGCAGAGTGAGAAGCCTTAAGAAGGCACGCAGGGGCTTCCCTGGTGGCGCAGTGGTTGGGAGTCCGCCTGCCAACGCAGGGGACACGGGTTCGAGCCCTGGTCCTGGAAGATCCCACATGCCGCGGAGCAACTAAGCCCGTGTGCCAGAACTGCTGAGCCTGTGCTCTAGAGCCCGCGAGCCACAACTACTGAGCCCACGTGCCACAACTACTGAGCCCACGTGCCTAGAGCCCGTGCTCCGCAACAGAGAAGCCACCGCAATGAGAAGCCTGCGCACCGCAACAAAGAGTAGCCCCCGCTCGCAGCAACTAGAGAAAGCCCGCGCGCAGTAACAAAGACCCAACACAGCCAAAAATAATAAATAAATTTTAAAAATAGATTAAAAAAAACAAAACAAAACAGGGCACACAGCCTCTGCAGGCAGCCCTCCCTGGCCAGAAGGCCCAGGAGCACAAGGAGGGGCAGCCCAGCAGGCAGGAGGCAGAGACAGCTGACAGCCCTGCATCTAACACCGCAAAGCAGTAACCACGCATTCTCTCCCTTTTCCCCACATCTAAAGAACCCTCCCGGTACCTGGGGAGGGAAGCGCTTCCGGGTCTCCGCGCACCCTCGCCACGGCCCCGCCTACCTTCTTCATGAGCATGTAGATATGGGTCTGCGCGGCGTCCAGCACGTAGCGGTGGGGATGCTTCAGCCCCTTGACTGTGATGTCCATGGTTTTGCCGTCTATGTTTATCCACCGCCTCGCCCCTGGGGCCAGGAACAGCCTGAGACGGGGAGGAAGACGTCAGCAAAAGTAGCCAGACCAGGTCAGTGAATGAAAAGTTCACAGCTGCTTGGGAGCGAGGGGTTGACAGTCGTGGGTTGGGTCCCCTGGGGTGAAAGTGGTCCTTTTTTTAGGAGACACTAAAGCATTTGAACAGGCCGTCAAGCAACATTTCCTAGAAGCAAGAAAACAGCCCTGCCAGCATCGGGAATGTGAACTTGTGTTTGACTTTGGAATTCCCAACCTCTGGCAGAGAGAGAGCAAAAAGTGGGTGGGCTGACCCTCCCCCAGCTTTCTCCCAGGACCTCCAGCCTCCCGGAGCAGGGGTGAGGTGTCCACAGCGCGAGGTGAGGTGAGGGGACGCGATATAGTCCAAAGTGCCTTTTATCCACACCCAGGCCGTGACCTGGGGGTGCTGTGAGAGGAGGGGCTTTGTCACTTCATGATTCACCGATTGTCCATCCTTCTCTGCTGGAGGACCTTGAAGGAGGCACATGTGTCCAGTTAGGAGGATGCTCCAGGAGGCCCCCAGGCAGTGCCTGTAAAACTTTCCATGTGCCTGTGAAACACCTGGGCATCATGATTCTGCATTTCTAACCAACCTCCAGGTGAGGCTGATGGTAACCTGAGGACCCCACTCTGGGTAGGAGGGTCCAGGGAATTGTGCCATGTGTAGAATGATGTTTGGACAAGCAGTGCTTCTGTGCAGCTCCCCAGAGCCTGCCAAGGAGGCTGGAAGGATCTGTGATGAGAAGGGTCTGAGTGTGGTCTGAGTGAGAAGAAAGTATCCAGGAGAATGGCTGTCCGGGGTCTGTGAAGAACACCCCCTCCTCAGCTTCCTTCCACTTACCCTGACTTTGTGCTTTGCATCTTTGCTCTTACAGATTTGGAGGGCCTTATTATACCTTACACTGGAGCTAGGCGTTTAGACCAATCTGAAGATATAAGCAAGCTGACAGAAGGCATCTGATTGAAAGCCTGGCTTGGAGAGGGGGGGGGGGGGGGGGGGGAGGGATCGGTGGAGGTGGGGGAGGGTCCACGGGGACAGCCGGACAGGATTTCAGATGGGAGGGGAAGGGAGGAAAGAAGAGAAACGGGTCAGCTGGGGTACATCCCATCCTGGAGCAGCGACTACGGCGGGGGCGAGACCACACGTCCTCCGTCCAGGGCCCGGAGAGGCTTGTTACCCCAGTGAGCGCACCTACGTGCTTCAGGGGGGCACGTGCCCTGTGTGTGCAGCCCACGTGTCTGCCGGGAACCTGCGCTTTCCCCCGGGGCACACAAGTCAGGGCTCAGATGAACCACCAGAGGCGGCCTCGTTCCTCTCCATCCAGGAGGTCGCACACCTTGCTTGGACAAGTGACATCTGATTAGGCTGGGACGCATGCGTCGCTGCTCTGTAGGTTTTCTCCGTGAAGGGTCCTGGTGACTTTGCGCCTGGTCGATGACGCACGTGACTCCCACCTCCTTTGTGCACAGAGAGCCCGTCTCTTAGGGCTCCTCGCGGGGCGTATTCCAGCCAAAGACCCTCACGGAGACGCTGCCGGAGCAGCGATGCTGACGGGCTGGCTCTCAGGAAGGCCTGGTCACCTGAGCCGGAGAGTCTGCGCCTCTGGGCCCAGGAGGAAAGCCAGCTTCTGCCCCACCCCGTTTCCTTCCAACTTCCCTAACTGGAAGGGGGATTCTCCCAGCCCCCAGTAGCGGGAACACCTCGGTGCGCCATCCCAGGTGGCCAGTTTTCGCCTGAGAAAATAAACGGGGTCACTCCAGTGGAAGAGCAAGAGCTTACGTGTGCGTGTGTATGTGTGTACATTGTGCGTGCGCACGTGTCTGTGTATCCGCGTGTGTGCATGTGTGTGTGTGCCTTTGTGTGCATGTGGGGCAGGGGGGAGGTGAGTCACGGAATGCCATGGTGGGCGGAAATGGACCAGACCATCCCCTCCTCTCCATTCCCAGTATTCTCTGGAAGGCTCCCAGGTATTTCAGACTGGAAGAGTTTGCACGATCCAGAGCTAGTTGACCTCTGTCCCATAACTCTATAGAGATCTTTCCTCTTCAGCGTGAAATTCAGGGTGTTCTTGGGACCAAATTCACAAGCGTGAGTAAAGAGGCCAGCAGTGCTCTTAAGTGACAGCCATTGGTCTTACAGCAAGTGCCCTACAGACTACCTTGCCCACGGCAAGATGGTTAATTGCTTAAGGGTAAAATTAAATGAGCAATTATTCACACTAGTCAAAAGGCGGAAACAACCCACACGTTCATCAGCAGATGAATGGATAAACAAAATGTGGTGCATACATACAATGAGTGTTATTCAGCCTTAAAAAGGAAGGAGATTCTGACATAGCTACAATGTGGATGAACCCTGAAGAGAGCATGCACAGTGAAATAAGCCAGACGCAGAAGGACAAATACAGTCTGATTCCGTTTATATGTGGTCCCCAGAGTCGTCAAGTTCATAGAAACAGAAAGTAGAATGGTTCCCAGGAGCTGGCGGGGAGTGGAGGAGCGGGGAGTTAGTGTTTAATGGGAACAGAGTTTCGGTTTGGGAAGATAAAAAAGTTCCGGGGGCCGATGGTGGTGACAGGTGCACAATGATGTTAATTTCACTGAACTCTACACTTAGAATGGTTCAAATGGTAAGTCTTACGTTATGAATATTTTACCAGGGTAAAAAATAAAATAAAATGAGCGCAGAAAAATGTGTACATGAATGTTCATAGCAGTACTACCCATAATAGCCAAAAAGTTGAAACAACCCAAATGTCCACCACCTGAGTAGATAAACAAAATGTGGTATCTTCACAGAATGGAATATTATTTGGTCATGAAAAGGACTGAAGCATCGTTACATGCTCCAACGTGGACGGACTTTGAAAATACTATGCTAAGTGAAAGAGGACAGAAAGCCACATATGGTATGATTCCATTTAGAGGAAATGTCCAGAACAGGCAAATCCATGAAAATAGAAAATAAATTAGTGGTTGCCTAGGGCTGGGGGTGTGGGCCGGGGAGTTGGGAGCAGAGGAAGACAGAGAAATAGGGAGTGACTTCTATGGGTCAGGGCTTTCTTTTTGAGGTGGTGAAAAGTTTCTAGAATTATATAGTGGTGATCGTTGTGCAACTCTGTGAATCTACTACACAGCACTGAATGGCACACTTTAAAAGGGCATGAGAATGATACGGTCTGTGAATTTATAGCATGTGAAGCATATCTCAATTTTTAAAATTTTAATTAAATGAACTGATTATTTACACGTTCTGTTCGTACCGGAAGCCTCGGGAATCTCATCCTGAGATCACCAGTAGCGCTCTTTTAATAACGCAGGGAAATCTTGGGGGTGGATTCTTACCAACACTAAGTAACGCCTGGGTGGGATAAGCTCAGGGTGTACTTTGTTATCCGACCACTAGATGGCGCCAGATCCACTTATTCACCAGTTGCTTCGGGCCTGTTCTAAAAGCTGCTCCCTTTCCCATCCAACTGTTCTGGGTTTTATCACCTCGCGGCAATTAGGCTTAATCAGAAAAAAGCGATTTTCAAGAATCCGTCTTAGCATGTAATTTGTGCATCCGGCCGTCAAACAGGCTTATGGCAAGTCCCGTGGGATACTTTCAGGTGCAACCTCACAGGCCAGTGGGTCTTGGGGAGCCAGGCTGTGTCAAGGCTCAAATGCTATGCTCCCCACGACTGGGGACTTGGAGAGAAATAAAGGAACCCCATAAAAGTAAGCTTTTCAGGGAAGGTGGTGAAGCCCATGGAATGCTCCGCCTGTAGGGAAGCTGGTCCCGATCTGGCCTTTTGCTTTTCCCAGGTGTCTCCCACTGCAGTGTATTTACGAGGCTGCAGGGGCCTCCCATGATGAGCCGCCCAGAGCTGGGGTATAAAATGTGGCCCCATCCATTCCATTCAAATCCTCCAAGGAAGCAGACCAGGAGCTGAGACAGTGGCTCTTGATCATGGCCGCATGTTCAGAATCACCTGGGGGGTTTTCAAGACTTCAGAGATTCCGCCCCAAACCAATTAAAAAGAAGCCTCTGGGGATGGGATCCAGGTGAACTGAATGGGCGGCCACGGCAGAGGAGCCCTGAGCTGAAGAAAACCAGGTACATGGTGGCAGCAGACCCGGGAGCTCGGGGGGTGGGAGACCCAGGGATCAGGGTGAGCCAGTGAGGGCAGCCAGAGGGGATGGAGCCTTCGAAACCTGAGTCATGTCCACGTGGATTCTGTGAGCAAAGCAACTCCCCCGACCGCGGGGCCCCCGGGAGCCAATGGAGAGACCGGGTCCAGGATGAGAGTCGGCCCAAGCAGAGCCATGGAAACATCTGCCGAGCAACCTCGGAGCCCTAGGCTAGACATTCAGGAATATTTCTAAAAGCAAATATTTTATTTAAAAAACTCAGAGACTCACCACTGAATTCTTTCTTGAGAAAGTACTGGAAGCTCTGTCGACCCTTGGGGTCTCGGATCAGCTCGCTGAAGTTGAAAGCCCATCGTTCCACCCGCATCTTGGTTGGGAATTCCACCCTGCAAGGACCACGATTTGTAAATGCTCCAGACACTCAGGCCGCACCCGGGGGCCTGCGTGCAGCGAGGGGGCCTCAGCCCCTGCTAAGCTCCGCGAGTCCCCCCGCCCAGGGCACGACCCAACCCTCCCCTCCTCCATACCCGCACAAACAAGCCGAGTAACCCCTAGCTTGGAAAATGCAGCCTCAGACACGTCCCTGGGCCTCGTCTCAGGATCTGGACTCCCCAGCGGGGGTACGGAGGCCCCCAGCAGAGAGCCTCATGCTAACCCTTCAGGGCAGAGGGACATGCACGCCTCCTCGAAGGCCTGTGGAGACCAGGGGGCCAGCCTGCCACACCAGACCAGAGAGAATCCCAGAACGGCCCCGGTGATGGGTGCTGCGGCCACTGCCACCCCCTCAACACCCCTTTCCCACGGGAACATCTGGTGACCCTTCCTGCCCTCCTTCAGGCCCCGTGCCCCCAGGCAGACTCCCCACAGGCGCTGCCGGCCGTGCACCCTCTCCCAGAGCCTCCCCTACGATGCCAGGCCCACTCCACCGCCACTCATTCTGAACACGCTTCGATCTCAGGAAGGACATGCGAGCCCGGCTAGCATGGGGCGGGTCTCACGGTCTAGAAAGTCCAGAAAACTGTTGGCTTTTCTCCTATTCCTTATGGAATTCTCCATAACCCAACACAGCCCCTGGGAAACAGAGGTTCCCAAGTCCCAGACACCATGTTGCCCACTGGTGCAACAGCTGAAACCATGACTGGGTACAAGTGATGTCTGTGGGATCTCAAGTCGGTCAGGCGAGCTTACGCTTCCCTAACGTCAGCGTGGAAACAATAAGGATCCCGGAATAACAGCTACCACTTACGGAGTCACCATCTGTGACGCACTGTGCTTTACACACACACCCATCGCTGGGTCCCTGAGGGAACACGGCCAGCTGGATAGCATCGTCCCCACTGTATTTCCAAGACGACGGAGGCTCAGAGAGGGTAAACCCTTGCCCGGGCCCACACAGTAAGAAGCAGGGCCCGGCATCAAACAGGTGTGCCAACTTCAGCGGACATCAGAATCCCCTGGGAGACTCATTAAAACACGGACTGCTGGGTGCCATCCCCCAACTTCCTGATTCAGTCTCGTGTGCGGCCCAAGAGCTTGCATTTCCCATGAGTTCCTGGAGGATGTTGATGCGGCTGGTCCATGGCCAACCCTGGGAGCGGATGCTCCGAGCCAGTCTCGTGAACCCTCGCTGCTCACTGAAATCAGTGGGCTAACGGGGCTCAGGAGGTAAGCCAGGCCAATTAACAAGAGGCTTTGGAGGTAAGGGCTGGATACTGGGTTTTCGTCCGCTTTGTTTTGTTTGTTTGGCCGCCCTGCGTGGCATGTGGGATCTTAGTGCCCAGACCAAGGTTTGAACCCGCGTCCCCAGCACTGGAAGCGCGGAGTCTTTACCACTGGACCACCGGGGAAGTCCTGTTTTGTTTTGTTTGTTTAAGCTTCCCAGGTGATGTTAATACCGTTCTAAAATCTAAACCATTAAGAAGAAGCCTCCCATTTTTGGAGGGTGGGGCTCATCTGGCATCCGCCCAGTACCCTCTGATCAAGGGCTCCTACATAAGCATCACCTCTTTCGTCCACCAGCAAATCTCTACCTCAAGCTTCCATACTCCACTCTCCATTGCACGTAGCATCCAGCAGCATCCACGCCTCCTTCCCAAACCCTCTCAGGACAGTCCCTGTCCTGGCCAGGTGGCCCTGCCTTTTCCCCCACAAGAGCCGACTTCTTGTGCACAGGGAGGTGCAGCCTGCCTCTCCCTTCTGATAACTGCGACAGAGACACAAGCTCCAGAAAACCGTCCTAATAACTAGAGGCCCCGGAAGACTCCCCAGAAGATGGTTCTAGAGTCTTGGGCTCTGCGGTTGACCCCCGACTCCAGGTGAGCGCCCTCCTTCACCTGTCCGCTGCCCATAGCGGGCCACACGGAGGGGTGAAAGGCCTCCGCAGCTACGCCTGCTCACCTGGCCGGATCTGTGCCACCTGGGTGTTCCTCATGCCTTAGGTGGTGATGGCCTTGGCGCTGACCCCGCTGTGGCATGCACCTGACGCTCTCTGTTTTTCCAGCCCCCCCCACCTCACACGCTCCTTCCAGCCCCTTCTGCCCCTCCTGCTCCAGCTTTCCCTGAGCTGCCCCCGTCTTCTTCCTCCCTATGCAGCTTGGGCTTTTCCCTCCTACATCTTGGCCTTTGCCCCCTCTTCCAGACGACAGATTCATGCAGGCACAGGTAGCAGCAACAACTGTTCAAATTTCATAAACAGCAAAGGAGCGAGTGGTGTAATTCCGCAAGGCAGCTTTAGGGCTCTGCCTTCCAGGAACTTATTTTTACTCTAGTCAGAAGTCAAGAGTGCGAAGCCATGAAGATGATTGGTTTTTTTCAGAAACGACCTATGGGCTTCCCTGGTGGCAGTGGTTGAGAGTCCACCTGCCGATGCAGGGGACACGGGTTCGTGCCCCGGTCCGGGAGGATCCCACATGCCGCGGATCCACCAGCAAATCTCTACCTCAAGCTTCCATACTCCACTCTCCATTGCACGTAGCATCCAGCAGCATCCACGCCTCCTTCCCAAACCCTCTCAGGACAGTCCCTGTCCTGGCCAGGTGGCCCTGCCTTTTCCCCCACAAGAGCCGACTTCTTGTGCACAGGGAGGTGCAGCCTGCCTCTCCCTTCTGATAACTGCGACAGAGACACAAGCTCCAGAAAACCGTCCTAATAACTAGAGGCCCCGGAAGACTCCCCAGAAGATGGTTCTAGAGTCTTGGGCTCTGCGGTTGACCCCCGACTCCAGGTGAGCGCCCTCCTTCACCTGTCCGCTGCCCATAGCGGGCCACACGGAGGGGTGAAAGGCCTCCGCAGCTACGCCTGCTCACCTGGCCGGATCTGTGCCACCTGGGTGTTCCTCATGCCTTAGGTGGTGATGGCCTTGGCGCTGACCCCGCTGTGGCATGCACCTGACGCTCTCTGTTTTTCCAGCCCCCCCCACCTCACACGCTCCTTCCAGCCCCTTCTGCCCCTCCTGCTCCAGCTTTCCCTGAGCTGCCCCCGTCTTCTTCCTCCCTATGCAGCTTGGGCTTTTCCCTCCTACATCTTGGCCTTTGCCCCCTCTTCCAGACGACAGATTCATGCAGGCACAGGTAGCAGCAACAACTGTTCAAATTTCATAAACAGCAAAGGAGCGAGTGGTGTAATTCCGCAAGGCAGCTTTAGGGCTCTGCCTTCCAGGAACTTATTTTTACTCTAGTCAGAAGTCAAGAGTGCGAAGCCATGAAGATGATTGGTTTTTTTCAGAAACGACCTATGGGCTTCCCTGGTGGCGCAGTGGTTGAGAGTCCGCCTGCCGATGCGGGGGACGCGGGTTCGTGCCCCGGTCCGGGAAGATCCCACGTGCCGCGGAGCGGCTGGGCCCGTGAGCCGTGGCCGCCGGGCCTGCGCGCCCGGAGCCTGTGCTCCGCAACGGGAGAGGCCGCGACAGTGAGAGGCCCGCGTACCGCAAAAAAAACGATCTACGTATTGTTAAAGCAGAGTTACCACTTGACCCAGCAGTTCCATTCCTAGGTACATACTCCAGAGAAATGAAAAACATATGTCCACATAAAAACTAGCACACGAATGTTCATAGCAGCATTATTCACAATCGCTAAATGGCAGAGACAAGCCAAATGTCCATCAACTGATGAATGGATAAACAAAATGTGGTATATGCATATAAATTAATATTTTTCAGCCATAAATCGGGATTGAGTATGAATACCTGCTTCAGCATAGATAAACTTTGAAGGCATTATGCTAAGTGAAAAAAGCTAATCACAAAAGACCACATATTGTATGATTCCATTGATATGAATGTCCAGAATAGGCAAACCTGTAGAGACAGAAGGTTTAGCGGTTGCCTAGGACTGGAGGGTTTGCGGGGAGGGGGATTTGGAGGGTAATAGCTAAAGGGTAGGGGGGTTCTTACTTGGGTGATAAAAATATTTTAAAATTGTGGTGATGGCTGCACAATTCTATGAATATAGTAAAAACCGTTGAACTGTACACTTTAAATGGGTGAAATATACAGTGTGTGAATTCTAACTCAAAAAGTTACTTTTAAGAGGACCCCGAGGGCTTCCCTGGTGGCGCAGTGGTCGGGAATCTGCCTGCCAGTGCAGGGGACGCGGGTTCGAGCCCTGATCTGGGAAGATCCCACATGCCGCGGAGCAACTAGCCCCGTGAGCCACAATTACTGAGCCTGCGCGTCTGGAGCCTGTGCTCTGCAACAAGAGAGGCCGCGATAGTGGGAGGCCTGCGCACCGCGATGAAGAGTGGCCCCCACTCGCCGCAGCTAGAGAAAGCCCTCGCACAGACACGAAGAGCCAACACAGCCATAAATAAATAAATAAATAAAATTTAAAAAATAAAAATAAAAAGGACCCCGGTATCTCGAATACATACAGTTTGGCATTTAAATCCCAGAACTGGGTGTCATCCGTTACCCAAGGATTGCTAGGAAGGCAGCCCGACATGATGGCGTCGTTGGACGAAAACTGCTCACTGTACTTGACGATCCTGAAAAGCAAACGGAAAGCGATTTCCTAGAAGTTCAACACCCCAGAGACCACATCAGCGCTCAGGTTGATTGACCAGCCTGCTCTCCTTCAACTTGATGGATTTAGTTACATACTTGTTACTGTCTTCTTAGAAAAACGCTCTAACAGCCCTCGGGATTGGCAGGTGTTAAACAAGATCTGCCCTATTCTAATTGTGAAATGAAACCTCATCAAGATCTGTCCTATTCTAGTTGTGAAATGAAACGTCGTCTCCCAAACCAGTTCTTTGTAACTTTTCCGTACGTATTTCATTAAAATACAGCCTCTTTACATTTGATCATGAGTTTTCAAAATGCAAAGCTGACTGTTTGCACGTGTTCAAACAGGTGTCTTGGCACCATCTTGGAAGCATAAGGTCGCCACGGACTCGGTGAGATTCTGTTGTGCCACCCTGGGGTCCACCCTTGGTCAAATAATGCCTGCATTTGGGAACTCAGACCCAGTATTCACAGCGGGGGTCTCACTGAGACAAATGTGGGCAAGGGCTAATTCCTCCTAGTCGGGTTAGACCTTCTGAGTCAACACGTGTCCTGGTATCTGGCACTTTGGAAAAAACCTGGCATGCCTTCACCCTATAGGTGGGGATTGCATCCGTAGTATACACGTAAGGCGTCTGCCCACAGCCATGAGAGTTTCATAGAGCAGGACCATGCCCGAGAGATACACCAGAGCTCTCGGTTTACAGTTCTGTGCCGTGCAGACCCATCTGTGACTCAGCAGCCGCAGACAGAGGTCACTGCAAAAGGTGGGTGAGGTCAGGGCGTGTATTTTCGGGCAGGTGGTAGTTTTGCAAACTACGGGTTTGGTAGGATGTCAAAAGATATTTGAAGATTTTTACAAGAGCCTAACCCTAACCGCATTGGGAGGCACTGGACAAAACACAGTATCTCCCACCCCGATCGGTACCTGTGGTCAGAGTAAACGACTAGTCATGTCATGTGTCCCCAGAAATCAGCCAAGTCCATTTTCAAGTGTGCAGAAAAACTGCAGAGCTAGAAAGGTGAGCCTCCAAGGAATTCCACATTTTGAAAGGGTAATTGCTTACATTTGGGGGGCACTAAACCTTTTCACGTCTTCCAAATAATGCCCTCTGGGAGACTGGATCAAAGTAGCCTGAACGTTCAAGAATCAAACATAAATTTCCAGTTTCTCCCAAAGGGATTTTAAATCAAACATTAACAACGGATACTTATCAGTACATTGAACACAGAATCCAGCTGGTGAACTTCTGACTCTTCCCACTTTCCCATCCACACAGACAGGCTTGTCTAGGGCCTCACCCAACCCTGATTTTGCCTAGCCCGAGACCTGGAGACTAGCACTGAGTGAAGAACCAGGAACTAAACCCCCAAGAGACTGCTTTTGTCCCCGTGAGTCCTTCAGGCTCTTACGTCAACCTATGACTTGTCAAGTTCGCCTTGAAGCGAAGTTCCCCTCCTAACTATTGTGCAAACCTCACCAAGACCAACAAAGCAGGGACATACCCGCCAAGGGACACGGAAGACTTCACCGTGGACCTCATTAAGGCCTGTCGGTAATACATGATCTGGAAGAGAAACAGTTGTTAGATGTCCAACTGCCCCACGGGGGTGTCGCCAATGCCGACACATACGTATGGCTCCAAACCAGAAGCCATGTTCCCATCAAAGCACCCCATTCCGTTCCCTCAAGCCGGCCACCCCAGGACCAGCAGGGCTCAGGTCTGCAGCAGATGGGTGGCCCCCAACTCCAAATAAGGAGGCTCCTTCACTCATCTCATCGTGTGTTAGTCTCGGAAAAGGCACCAACTGGGAAAAGTTCTAAGGTACGTTAAAGTGAGACATGGGATAGACACAGAAGCTTAGCTTTTCCCCCAAATGCCTCTGACTCACAGAAGCAGATCTAACTAACCTCACGGCCAACACTTCCCAGGGCTCTCTGTCTTGCACCCCGGATACAAGATTTGCCAACACAGGTCGCTTGTCACCCTGGACAGATGCTGAGCGGCCCTGTAACGGTAGCAGCAGGGGCCAGGGTGGATGCGTCCGCTCCACGCCCCCCAGTTCTGTGCCTTCGGAGGGCATCTCGCACCCTGAGCCTCAGCGTCAGCCCCGACCAGATCTTACATGAGATGCTTTGGCTTCTGTGCCGTCCGTTAATTGGGAAACAGCTGTTTGAACGTTACGCATGGTTTTCATTTCATCACTGAGTGCAGAGCAAGAAGCCAAAGTACATATGATTTGTCAGAGGATTAAAAATCAGACTTCCCTTGAAACTGGGAGACTAATTACCTCTTTTCTGACAGAAACCACTGTTTGTTTCTGTAAAACAAAGAAGCAAAAACCATTAAACAGATGTCATGAAATCACTACAGTCCAATTACCCATTTGAAAAACAAAAACCCTTCCCCAAGAGAAAACTGCCGGTCTCTTTTGACTTAAAGGATAGAATTTCCCCATCACCAGCCCTTCCACCCTATTCTACACAACTTCTAGAGAATAAGACCAACTAAGAGGTTTGCTGAGGGAAGGGGATGCTTTACCACTGTAACTTTATCCTACTCTCCTAAAAGCCAAGATGAATTCAAGACTAAGCTCGGGATTGCTCCCAACCCACCGTAGCGCCTACAGAACGTCTGAAATGGGACGGGGGGGTGGGGGTGGGGGGAGAAACTAGAGACCTGACTAATACCATATGTTGCGGGGGAAAAGCCACGCTGTCAAAAACAAAGCACACAATTAAAAGACTCAAGAGAAGCCTCCGCTACAAGCTGAGTCCAAGAGCTGAGCTGTAACATGGAAGAGCTCACACCGGGCCCCATCCTCTCTGAAGCCGCTGAAGCAAGTTTGCGTCCTCTCTCTGGACTTTTCGAGTCATAGCCGAGGAAGGATGGCTCCAAGAGGGGCGCCATGTTTAGGGTCTTGGAAGCTCCTGGAAACCATTCAGACCTGTCTCCTACTAAACTCTCCTACCATCTGACATGCTTCCCTGGTACCACTTGTCTGCCCCATGCAAATCTTGGAGGCTGGGCACGGTGGGTGATGCCAATTCAGTTTTCCTAGGTCTGGTCCAGGGGCTGCCTGGTGCTGACTCTTAGACTTCAAGCTGGGCATCTAATTGCGGGCTGCTAAAACCCGTGCTGCTGAGTGCAGCCAGGTTTGCGCTTGAAATAGAGTCAGAAGTCCAAGGAGGACACGATCTCCCTTAGCCAGTTAGTAAAATAAGTACTGGGCCAGAGCCCATTAACAAGGAATGAAGGAAGGTCTGATCTGGAACGTCATACGCAAGTCTCTCCTTTCTAATCCACACTGGGTTTCATTTTGCATCATTAGATTGTTTTTATGTGCTTTGCTTTTCGCAGGAAATCCTTTTTCCTGGGTGGGGCAGGGAGAGTTAACTCGGAAAGGTAATGCTCAGGTAGAGGCCTCTCTAATCCGCCGCCCCCGCAAACTTCCTTCCTCATAGCACTGATCACAAGTATAATTAGATATTTGTTTGTGTGACTCTGTTTAATCTATGTATCACCCATTAAACGCCATTAAGAGCAGGAAGACCACGTTTATCTTCCTGAGCATAATGTATGGCACAGAGTAGATGCTCATTAAATGTCAAACAAATGATGACTGCAGTGTGCTTGGAGGCCTAGAAAAATGGAGATGTATTTTAAGGTTAACAGAATATTTTTCCACTTAAAAAACTGAGAACACTCCCCAAATATTTTGGCAATCACACTGATTATCTGTTCCAGTTCTCTAACAGCCCTAACATTGGGCTGTTTTAGAAGACACATGTTTCAGGTAGAAAAGAACCCTGGGGTCAGAGTAGGGAAGCTGGACTTTTGTGTAACAATAACCACCAAGCAATAGTACAAAGCAATTTACACCTCTCTGAGCCCTTGCAGAGTTTGAGGGAGGAAGGTTTTATTTTTCTGATTTTCAGCTGAGGAAACCAAGGCCCTGACATCTCCTGGTCAGTGACTGGCCGAGGCAGGATTCAAACCCAGATCTGCCCTTTGCAAAGCCGAGGAGTGACCCAGGAAAGACAGAAGATGATCTGCTCTCTTCACCAATGCCTTCCTCCTTGCCCTGAAGCTGAGGGTACCGCCGAATGAAATGTCTTCTCTGTCCGGCCATTTAGTTTAAAATTCAAACAAAAAAGAGGGCTAGGGCCCCGATCACAAGAGGAAGCACACAGAAGACACTCTGTAATTAGCACTAGTGATGGTAAAACACACTCCCAGCCAGAAGGGAAGTCAGATCTGGGGACCTAAAGCACAGCGCGGTGACTATAATTAACGATACTTGTGAGTTGGTCAGAAAGTAGAGCTTAACTGTTATCACCACAAAAATCGCAATTACGTCAGGGGATGGAGGTGTTACCTCACCTCATTGGCGGTAAGCATTCTGCAATATCTACATGCATCCAATCACACACTGTACACCTGAAACCTACATATGTTATGCGCCAATGATACTCCCACGAAGCTGGAGTCCGGAAGCACGAACACTGGTATAAAGATGGCAACTGTACGATCAAGCAGGCACCATCGTAAACACCCTCCTTTGAAGCGCCCAGGCCCCAGGATGAGCCATCCTGTGGGCCACTGTCCTCTGGCCTCGGGGACCCTGCGTGGACGAACACAGACAAGACAGGCAGACTCTCAGCCTGTCCGATGGTCTCTGGGCTCCCCGGGGAGCTGTCCTTGCAAACCGGTCACCAGCACACACCCATTTCTAGTCTACTTAGCGTGGTCTAACTTCAGCTTAATACCTTTATTTCTGGGGTCATTATCTCAAGCTTCAGGGTTTTAAAATTTTTATATTTTAATTCCCTTCTTGACTTTGCTGTCCTTTTAGGGCTCTGTGTCGAAGGTGTGGTTTGCTGTGGGTTTTCTGAGTCCCCAAATTACCGGCTATCTCCTGGGAATCAGACTGCAGTGGATTTGATTGAGTCTAAGAGTTTGCCCACCTCCACCCTGGATTGTCCGTGTGGATTTCAGCATTTCTAGCTTTAAAAACAGCTGTCCAGGGACTTCCCTGGTGGTGCGGTGGTTAAAACTCGGCACTCCCAATGAAGGGGGCCTGGGTTCGATCCCTGGTCCGGGAACTAGCTCCCACATGCGTGCCTCAACTAAGAGTTCGCATGCTACAACTAAGGAGCCCGCAAGCCATGACTAAGGAGCCCACGTGCCGCAACTAAAGACCCAGTGCAACCAAATAAATAAATAAATACTAAAAAAAAAAAAAAAAAAGCTGTACATAGGATCTGCCTCCTGTGGATTGACATATAGGGTATCTCTGTGCTTTTAGGAGTGCATGTGTATCCGGGAAGTGAGGGAGAGGGTTCCGGACTTTTCTGAAAGACAGAGAATTTGATGGGGTGGGAGTCGTTATAAGAAAGAGTATCGACTTTGGGGTCAGAAAGGTCAAAATCCCTGTTCTGTCACTAATCGGTGACCTGACTTTGGATGACTCATTTGGCATCTCAAAGCCTCTGTTTTCTCATTTGTAAAAGGGAAGAGAAAAGGGGGGATTAAATGACAGAATCCTTAACTGACTGGCATAAGGCGGGGACTCAACGTACCCTGGCTACTGATCAGGGTTCAGATACTGCTGTTGAGAAGATACAGGGTACGGCATTAGCCCCAATTACGAGATAAAATACAGGATGCCCAGGCAATATTGGGGACGTATTCACGCCAACAAAAGTTATTCGCTGCTTATGTGAAATTTAAATTTAACTGGGCATCCTGTATCTTACTTGCTAAACCTCACAACCTACTTTCAATATGATTATCACCTAGCCAAAGGCCATAAGAAACATTAAAGTGCAGTTATTAAAAAATACACGGGCTTCTCTGGTGGCGCAGTGGTTGGGAGTCCGCCTGCCGATGCAGGGGACACGGGTTCCTGCCCCGGTCCGGGAGGATCCCACGTGCCGCGGAGCAGCTGGGCCCATGAGCCATGGCCGCTGAGCCTACGCATCGGGAGCCTGTGCTCCGCAACGGGAGAGGCCACAGCAGTGAGAGGCCCACGCACCGCAAAAAAAAAAACAAACAAAAAAAACACACACACACACTTCTAAGCAAGTCAAAGAAAGCCACCTCATGGTAAAATAAGAAATAAACATTTGTCACACCTTGGAAGGCACGCACAAACCCCCGCTTTCTCAGCAGCTGGTCCACCTGGGATGAACTCACTTCTTTATCTTTCATCCCAGTGACACGTTTCGCTACAGCAGGAACACTCCGCCTAAGGAACTGTCAGATACTCTGCATTCTTGGGATTCTGACTTAGGATTTTTCACTCGCAGAGTTGCCCAAATAGGGACGCATGCAGATCTTGTTTACACAGCTCTGCAGCCAGCTTGCCGGCCCTGAAACCCAGATGCAGGCTGCAGACGATTGTCACAGGGCAGGAGGGGTCAAGGCCGTGCCCTGGGAGACCCCGGGGTGACAGTGGACAGAGGCGCGGGAGCCCCAGAGAGGGGTGGGCAGGGACCCTGGGGTCAGGCAGCCAGGCAGGAATCTGTGCAAACAGGGCTGAGACCGGGCAAGCCATGGAGTGAAACGCAAGGCGGGGAGAACCACAGGGAACCGGGGAACACAGGCCTGGAGAGCACAGAAAGGGTCAAAAGCCAGAAACCAGGAAAACTGGGAACTGAGGCCGTTAACGCAAAGCAGACAGGAAAGAGATGGGGGCAGCCGGCTAGCCGAGGAGCCGAGAATCCGAGGCTGTGAGCCACCGAACGAGGTCTGTCCTGCCATGTCCTTCCCGATCAGGCCGGCGGGGCGG